CCACTGGCTGACCGGCTAAGCTCGCCTCGGGGGGACCGACACGTCACCCCGGATTTCCGTCCGTAGACGCCCACTACAGGGTTCCTCTTTCTCGGGGCATACAGCTCACCGAGATGAGGACGACCCCCTGTAGCTAATTCATTTAGCTCGGCTCAGCCTTGGTCCAGAGTCGCAAATACCTCAAGCCAGGATCAGCATCCTGTAGCTAATTCATTTAGCAGCAAAACACACAAACAAATAACAACCACAGCCATCAGAAATCTCTTATGCAGGTTCTTAGCAAAACAGCCCTGGGCAAGGAAAAGATTACCTGCCTTTTGCCGTCCTCGAACAGCCAAGTGGACGTGACAGTGGATCAGACAGAAACAAGTAGTACAGTGGTAAGATATTGAAATATGCCTACCGTACTCTCAGGGTTGCGCAAGACCTATTGGTCTGTCTGGTCCTCTGCTACCATCCGTGTGTCATGGCTGCTCTTGGATCGGAACCCAGGGCCCCACGTTGGGCGCCAGATGAAATGGATCTGAACCACAACTGGGTTCACACAAGATGTCTGCTGCTGTTCCTAATTATGTCGTTTTCGGTGCACTGGAGAGAAATCACAAACTCAGGATTAAGGTTTATGCCGCATCTACTTTATTCAGGGCGGTCTCTCTCCTTTATACACAGATAACAGGAGAGTGCTCGTCACACATATGCCCACCTTTGTTACCTCTAAATGTCTTGTACTATTGGGCAAACTAGAGGGGCTGTTAGTTAAAGTCTTGTGTCTCTCGCTAATTGGTTAGTCAAAGATATCTTCTGCCTGTAGCGTCCTCCCTCGGCATTCCTTTCATGTGTCCTCGGCGCGCTCCCGAATACAGGATCCATCTTGGTTACGCATAGCAACGCTAAAAGCTGATTAAGGAAAGTCACAAAGCTAGGAAGCAAATGAAACTAATTCAAAACAATTGAAAACATAGAAAAGGACATTTTCTTGATATGATCCATATTCCTTCACAAATACTCAAAAATTCAGAAAAAATTAGCACTAAAGTACACTGAAACTCAGCGTTTAAAAA